CGTTGCTCCCCGGAGGCTGCTCTCAGATTCCACCGGGATAAGCCCGAGCAGAGGGATCCCCCTCTGGAGAGGTGATGGGTGCCGGCCACAGCTTCCCTCTGGGCTCCTTGTGGTTTGCTGGATAATCCTTAGGAAGGGGAACTGCCTGCTGAGGGTTGTGCTGTGGGAAGGGAGGGTTTGGGATATCCCCCTCCTGGGGTGGTGTGGGGGCTTCTGGTTCCTCTCCCTCTGGGAGGTGTCAAGCAGGGGCGTTACTGTGAGGGCACTCAGTGTTTGAAAAACAAACCAAAACCCTTAACACAACAGCAAAAATAAACTAACCAACCCCATGTTTGCTTCCAGGCTGCTCTGTCAGGAGCAGAGGGCAGTGCTGGCACTAGAAATGGCCAGCGCAGCTCTTCAGCCGGACTGAGGTGCCCAGAACAAACCCCGTCCCCCTCCCTGTGTCCCCAGGAGCTGAAATCCCTGAAGCACCACAGCTGGAGGGAAGGAAGGGCTTCTGCAGCGGGGAAGGGGCATTTCTGTGCCTGTTGTATCCCTCTGAAGGGAAACAAGGAATCCTGGTGCACCATTTCTGCCAGTCAGCAGCGCCGCAACAGGTGCCGCGCTCTCTCCCTCGCTGCTTGAGGTTCTGTGCCGTGGTGGCAGAAACCAGGGCGCCTGGAAGCGTTTGTGTCGGAGTCTCTGCCGGGGAGGAGACAGTCTCTGAGCTGCTGTTCCCTCTCAGCTGCCATCAGCACCCTTCCTCCGCTCGCCAGGGAGCTGATAAGGGCTTGGATGGGAGCAGGAGCTGCACCCTCGGGCTTTCCCCTCCTGGGAGAATAATGAGTGGCTGGAGGCAGCGCCTCTGCCTTGGTGCAGAATTGGTCGTGTTCTCATTGCCCTGCCTGCTCCCTGGGGATTGCTGATGGTCTGGGGAGGGGGTGACATTATTTATTCCATCCATCCATCCCAGGGCGTTTCCTGGGAGTGCTTCGTGCTGCTCCAAGGAGAAGCAGGGCAGGGCTGTTCAGAGCCCCCATCTCTGCTCCCGCTTATCTGCTGTGTGGGATGGCTGGCTCTGAAAATAGCCATCTTTTTTTTTTTTTCTTTTTTGGTGGATGTGTCTTTCTCTCCAGTCTGACGTGTGTTCAATCTGGTCTGGTTTGCCGTGCTGGGGAGAAGGGGGTGATAAGCAGGGACCTCGTGGGGATGTGGCAGCGGTTTGGGCAGCGCTGCCGTGTCCTGCTGCACGCAGGGAACGGGGAATCCCGGAGCTGGAGTCCCTTCCCTCAGCCTGTGATGACTTGGCCCCTGTTCCCAGACAGCAGGGAAGTTTTCCAGCAGCTTTCCAAGTGTGCTGGAAGTCACTTGACCTGCGGAAGATTTCAGTGTTGGGAACAGACCCCAGGCCTGACTCGTGGCCAAAGCCTGCTGCTGCCAGCGTTGTCTGCCTCTCTCTCCAGCATTACCTGCTTGGCACAGCAGTTATGGGAACGGAGTTGGAGTGAAACTGCTGCCTAAATCCAGGCTGTTTATAGCAGCTCAGCGAGATGGGAGTCCCTGGGAGTGGGTGACACCAGGGCCCTCAGAAACGTGGTGCCTCTTGACCCGCTCTTGATTCTGGCACAGCCTTGTCAGTGCACGGGGCTCGTGTGGAGCAGGGCAGCCAGACACAGCCCAGAGGTGGATTTCTGTTGGGGTTTAATGATTATTATTAGTGCTGTCACTGCTGGGGTGCTGCAGCGCAAGCCTGTCTGTACAATAGTAGCTGAACATTCATTCTTCTGCTTCCCTGTGTTCCTGTGGCTGCCACACATGACTAAGGAGCAAAAACAATCTAGTGGAGTGACTCATCCCTCCAGAGAAGGTGGGATAAGAGCAACAGGAGAAACAGCAAGCATGGAAACAGCATTCGTGGGGAGCTGTGCTGGGCTGCACCGAAGCTCCCAGAGTCCATTCACGGCCAAGACTTGGGTCATCAGTGATCTGGAACTGGGAGAACTAGTTAAGAAACTGGCTGATGCAACATTCCCTGAATAAAGGCAAAGGGGGCTTAGTGAAAACATAAAATCTGCTGTTCCCTGGTCTGTAGGTTTGTCTGGGTTCTCAGCTGTGTCTTGGATGGTCAGTGGAAGGTGAAAGGATGGAAGGAGGTGAGGACTCGCCATGTGATGGTGCTGAGCTCCCCAGTCTGATGGGTTCCAGTGCTCCCAAACCAGCCTCTGGGGTGTTTGGCATCCCTGGCAGTCCCTGTGGGGCAGTGGAACAGAGCTTTGAGTCCCCTTTTCCTCTCTCTTTCAGATCAACGAGCTCAGCAATGTTCCCGTCCCTGTCATGTTAATGCCCGATGACTTTAAAGCCTACAGTAAGATTAAGGTGGACAATCATCTATTCAACAAGTAAGTAGGTGCTTCCCAACCTCTTTGTCCCTAATTAGAGCCCTTTGCTGGGGTGGTGAAGGCCTTCTGGGTTGTTCCCAGTGGAAATGCCCAGAGGATGTGGCCTGGCTGGACACGAGACCTGAGCCTGTGCCCTGCCCAGACCCCTCAGCAGGACGTGGCAGGGTTCAGTCTGTCCCTGAGATGCTCTTTTGTGGCTTGGTTTCTATCCTTTGAGGGGTAAGACCCTTCACAGCCCTCAGGGTGTCTGTGGGGTTACTCCCATCTCCTATTCCCAGAAGGTCAGTTTTTGGAAGCCCTCCTGGAGCCGTGTTCCCCACCCTTGCTCTCTGTGAGTGCAGGGCTGATTAATCCTTTGTTTTCCCTGAGTTTCCCAGGGATCAGCTTTGGAGAGTGGGAGTGTGATTGGAAAGTTTGCCTTCCCTGGCACGCACAACAGCTCAGTATCTGCTCTTCCCTCTTCTCCTACAGAGATTTTTCGTTTCCCACGTTTCGGTGCGAAGGATTCTCACTGACAATGAGCTGCCAAACGTGGGGACCGTCCCCACTGCCTGTCCCCCTGGGCGGGATCAGGGCAGGGCAGGGAGCAGCTGCAGCTCTCAGTGACAGGGAATGCTGTGTGTTTCCGCTGCCCTGTGCTCGGGGGCAGCCTGGCAGCAGAGCTGGCTCTGGAACATGCCAGGCTGGAGCTGATTTCCCCCCACCCCTCTCTCCTCCAGGCTCCTGGTTTGTGGTGCGTTGACCTTTCTTTTGACGCACGAGTGATCTGATGGGATCTGAAATCAGAGCCCACCCCTCCACCCCCCCACTTCTGCTGCAGCTCTTCGTCTTCCCCAGTAACAGGGTGTGCAGGGGGCAGCTGTGGGACTGCACAGCATAAGGAGGGGCAAAGAGAGAAACGATCCTGCCAGATCTGTGCTTGTGGCAGAGGGGATTGTTCTGTATCCTCTCACCCAGGCAGCCTGTTAGTCAGGATCCTGCAGACACCCCTGTGGAGAGATGGCTTTTGCAGGCATCCAAACAAACAAGCTGCCCTGGTGAGGAGAAGTACCTGCTGATTGGGATGGGGTGGGAAATCCTGGGGGGTTGGCGGAAAAGTGGGAGAAAAGTTGGGTTTGATTTCACGAGCTGGTCGTTGTGACACACAAACATCTTTTCTGCCCCAAGGGAGAACTTACCAAGCCGCTTTAAATTTAAGGAGTATTGTCCACTGGTGTTCCGGAACCTCCGGGAAAGATTTGGGATCGATGATCAAGACTACCAGGTACCAGCTCTCCCCTCCCTGCCCTCCTGACACCTTTCCCTAGGACAGGATATCCCAGCTGGCGGAGAGACCCTGATACAAACATTGTTATCATCAGCTTTTCTGGGTTGGTAATCGTGGTAACCCCAGGGCCCACAGCAGTGCAGGAGAGCTTGCTGTGCCAAGCACTGGGCAAGAGGAGAAGGAGAAGATGGTCCCTTCTCTGGGGAGTTTAAACCTAGGTGTGAAATAGGAGCCACAGTGGAAAGGCAGGAGCTGGAGGATGACAAAGATCCGGTGTGGAACATCTGCAAGGAAAATGAGCCCGGTGTTGTTTTACAGGTTCAGGTGAATCTGCTGCCCCTCCAAGTGTGTGTGTTGTGTAGTTGGGTGTATCAGGGTGGCTCCTGCTCTGGGACACGTCCCCTAAGGCCACAGGCTCAGCTTTGCCTTGGAGGGGACAGACTTTTGGGGGGCTTAAATGCAGAGAGAGAGAGAGAGAGAGAGAGAGAGAGAGATGTCACAGCTCCTGCTGCTGCAGCGGGGCCACCCTTCCACCCGCAGCAGGAGGCGAACAGGAGGCTGCCTGGGGATGTCAGGAAAGAGGGGAAAGCCCGTGCAGAGGGAGGGAGGGAGGGAGGGAGGCTTTGATGGCAGCGTGGCCTTTGGCAGGCCGGGTGGCCGGGAATTAACGCGGCGTCCTCGGCTGCTGCTGATGGAGACGGGCACGGCGCCAGGATCGGGGCATCCGCTGGAATACTCCCCGGGATCCGCCAGCCAGGGAGGCATGTGGGGGAGTGCCCTTCTTCCCCTACTGTCCTGGAGGATTGTTCCTCCCATCTCTGGACTAGTTTGGCCTCTTAAAAACAAAACGTTAATTGAGCTCGGTTCAAGGTGGGTAAAATGCGATGGCTTGAGTGGGAATGGAGCCAGAACACTAAATATAACACCCCAAGTGTGGAAGAGGTGGGAGGGACAGGAAGGCAACCCGAAGGGCTGTGAATTTGGTAATACTCAGTGTGGTCACGATTTCTGCTTCCCATCTCCAGAAGAAAAGCTCTGTGGTTTTGAGGTGAGGGCCTGATTAAACTGTGCAGCACAGACTCCTTTGCAAATGTCAGCAGGAAACAAGGGGGATTTTTCTGTTTGCCTTTGTTTTCCTGATGCTGTCTGAATCCGTTGGCAGCAGTGGAGTTTTTTTTTTCCCCCGGCTTCATTAAAGTTTTAGGAGCTTTAAATGCCTCATTCTGAAAGGAAACCTCTCGGCTCACTTGCAGCGTGACACGGTAAATCCCTTTCTCACAGCAGGCTCTGTCTGTGCCTGCAGCTGAGCAGGCTCCCTCTGCTGCCAGCCCTCCAGAGCTGAGGGCAGAGGAGAGAGCAGTGTCACTGTCACCTAAAAAAAACCCCAATCCGTCCTCAGACACATTGTCCAGCCCTGAGATGCTGAAATCTGGCTAAAAACCATCCTCCAGGTGCTTGCCTTGCTGTGCCTCAGAGCACAGCTCTCCACTCCCTGCTTGGACCTGTGGCAGGGGGAGATGGTGGATAAAATGACTCCTGAGCACAGGCTGGTGGCTGGGCAGGGTGGAGTGGGAAGGTGGAGCTTGGAAAGGATGGAGGGGGACCCCCAGGAGACAGGTGACCTGCTGGGCTCGGCAGGTGTGAGGAGCAGTAGCTCTGGCTGAGGGGTGAGGCTCCCACCGCCTGGGGAGGGGACAGCAGAGCGAAGAGCTCGTGCTGGTGGCTCGGGGAGCGTGGCAGACCCTCACTGTGCCGTTTTCCTGGGATTTTCCAGTCGTGCTGCAAGTCTGAAGGGGAGCTGCAGTGTCTGGTTGCTAAGGGTGGAGACAGGGAGATGAAGACAGATGCTGCTGGTTGTCGGAAGAACGGCCAGGCTATTTATACTCCCATCTTTTACGTCCGATGGCAAGAATAGCAGGGGCTGAGGGTGGCTTTTGGTTGCAGGATGACCTGCAGAGAATTCCCAAACCACGAGACTTTGGCCAGTTTAAGCTGCTTTTCGATGGGAAAGGCAACAGGCCGTTCCAGTGGGTTTGTACTGGCTTTCCTTGAACCTCAGGAATATCCTGACTGTTGTTAACATTGCCAGGAGGAAATGCCAAGAGCTGTATTTTCTGTGTCTTTAGTAAAAACAAAAATGCCCTCAAAAACACCTGCCAGGTGTTGGAGTCAAACATGTCAGCAGGTAAAAGGCCCGGCTGGAAGCCCTAAAACCCTCCAGGTTTTTAAAACGCGAGGCAGAACACGCCCGCAGTGTCTGCTCCGGGGGTTATCCCTGCTCAGCCGTGTCCCACCCCGCTTCCCGAGGCTGCCCTTCCTTCCCCAGGGGAGGTGGCAGAGCCCCTGCCAGTCCCTGCCCCTGTGCTTGCCCCCTCCAGAACTCGGTGACCCGCAGCGCGCCAGTGAACAGCGACAGCCAGGGCCGCTGCGGCGCCCGCTTCCTCACCACCTACGACAGGAGGTTTGTCATCAAGGCCGTGTCCAGCGAGGACGTGGCGGAGATGCACAACATCCTCAAGAAGTACCACCAGGTACGGTGAGTCTGGAACCCTGGGGAGGTGGGCTGCGAACACCCCGGGGGTCTGCTGGGCGATCCGGAGCTCGGCTTGGTGGGTGAAAGGATGAGTCCCTTGGGATCTGAGGGCCGAACGTGGCCCAGCCGCCTGTTTCTTCACAGTGCTGAGCCCCTTCACAGCTCACCCAGTTCCTTATATCAGTGAATTGTGGATTGCTGGTGCCTGAGACCTGTAAACATGCTGCCAATTCAGTGCTTTGCATTAGGCTTTCCAGAGAGGAGCAGGGAAGGGGGGGCAAAAGGGGGACAGCGGGAAATGTTCTGCCCTGGTCCACATTATGTGCCAGCCCATCTGCTCCTCACTGTCAGGTAAACTTAGATAACCATGAGAAGGGAGGTTGGGCAGTGCCAGGGCACACCTGGCCTGTCACAGCAGGCTGGGCATGCACAGACAGTCAGAGAATCCCAGAATGATTTTGTTTGGAAGGGACCTTAAGGATCATCCAGTTCCAACCCCCTTCCATGGGCAGGGGTGCCACTCCTTGGATCAGGCTGCTCAGGGGATGGGATGCTCTGTCTCAGCTCAGGGCTGGAAGTCTCTCACCATGCCTTGATTCCTTTTCTTGAGACCCCAAGGAGGGGCATTTCAGGGCCTCCTTTCCCTCCACATCGGTGTCAGGTGGCTGGAACTGGGCGGGGGGGTCACCATCAGCATCCTGCTGAGCTTGTGTTATGTCAGAGGTGGGGTCTGTGTGACAGAACTGTCCTTCCCTGCCCTTCCCTCCCCTGCTGTCCTGCAGTTCATCGTGGAGTGCCACGGGAACACCCTCCTGCCCCAGTTCCTGGGCATGTACCGGCTCACGGTGGACGGCGTGGAGACCTACATGGTGGTCACCAGGAACGTCTTCAGCCACAGGCTGACGGTGCACAGGAAATACGACCTGAAGGTGGGGCTTTGGGGGGCTGGGAGCTCCTCCAGGGGGGCTGGGAGCTCCCCCAGGGGGGCTGGGAGCTGGGCTTTGGAACACCCACCTGCCAGGCTCGTGGGCTTTGGCCACGGGGTCAGGTTTTTGGGGGCTGCGGATGGAGCATCGCTCGGGGCTCAAATGTGGGTGGATTTTCCCCATCCCAAGTGACCTGCACTAAACCAGGGAGATCGTGGAAAGGGGGTTGAGCACTTGTTTTAAAAATACTTCCAGAATTTCTTCTGCATGGAGAAATTAAATTGTGAATTAGTTGGGAATATGACACAGTGCAGGAATGATATTTTCTTTTTTTTTTTTTTTTTTGTAATCAGGGCTCAACAGTATCCAGGGAAGCAAGTGATAAAGAGAAGGTATGGAGCAACCCTGGCCAGCCTTTCCTTCCTCTTGGTGGTTGGAAGCAGATGGGATCCAACTGATTTCCCTTTTCCAAAGGGGTATTGAGCAGGGGCTATTAAACAGGCCCTGAGTTGAGCTCACTTGCTCTGTGTCTGCCTTGAGTTTCTCTGGATCCACTGATAATTACTGTGCTCTGCCTGATGCTGTTTTCATCTCTAGTGGACAGGATGAGCCACTTCACCTTAAAACCACCCAAAAAGACTCTGGTGCAGCCCTGGAGTGCTGCTCAATCCACACATTTCTGAGGGATCCGTGGTCCAGCCCTCCCCCAGGGTTGGAGGACTTGACACAGGCTTTTTGTTGCAGGCCAAGGATCTCCCGACGTTCAAGGACAACGACTTCTTGAATGAGGGTCAGAAGCTGCACGTTGGAGAAGAGAGTAAAAAGAACTTCCTTGAGAAGCTGAAGCGGGACGTGGAGGTATTTTCCCAGGGGACAGCTCTTCCTGGGTGTCCCAAAACTGGATCCTCACTGTGGCCTCTGGCTCCAGGGGGGCAGCAGTGCCTGCAGAGCGAGTTCTGGATCAGTCAAGGTTGTGCTGAGGGCAGTGGGCCTGTGAGCTCGTGTGTGGATTCTCTGGAGTCTGAAAAGGGTTTAGCTCTCACTGCAGCCCTTCCTTAGGGAGGTGCTGGCAGGGCAGGACGGAGGATTTGTGATCCCACATGCGGGTGCTGCTGTTCTCACTCCTCCCTTTCCCCCCACCCCAGTTCTTGGCTCAGCTGAAGATCATGGATTACAGTTTGCTGGTTGGGATCCACGACGTCGACCGGGCTGAGCAGGAGGAGATGGAAGTGGAGGACCGGGCCGAGGATGAGGAGTGTGAGAACGACGGCCTGGGGGGAAACCCCATCTCCTCCTACGGGACCCCCCCGGACAGCCCCGGAAACCTCCTCAACTACCCCCGTTTCTTCGGGCCCGGCGAGTTCGACCCCTCCGTCGACGTCTACGCCATGAAAAGCCACGAAAGTGAGTGCTGTGGGGCTGTGGGGGTGGCGTGGGGGGGCACGGGAGGTGCCCTGGGGCTCAGTGCAGTGCCAGGACTGTCCATCCTCTTTGCTGTGCTCAGCTGGAACGGGTAGAAGTGTTGCTTCTGCTGTGCTGGCCCACCGGTGTTCCCTGCCCCTCCTGCTCTGCTTTCCCTGCGAGCCTCACCCAGCCGAGCTCTGCTGGGTGTCTGTGGAGGAGGGGAGCGGAGCTGGGCTTTGCTCAGGGGGTGCCAGCCACTCTCGTGCCTCGCCAGGTGCCCCCAAGAAGGAAGTTTACTTCATGGCCATCATCGACATTCTCACGCCCTACGACGCGAAGAAGAAAGCTGCGCACGCTGCCAAAACAGTGAAACACGGGGTAAGCCTGGCACCTGCAGAGAGGTGGGCTTGGGGGGCTTCTGCTCTGCCTGCATGGCCCTCTGTGCGTGTGTGTGGTGTCTCCTGGCACTGATTTTCCTCCCAGTGTGGGAATTCTGCAGTGCCCGTGCGCAGGAGCAGCTCTGCCCTCGCCGCTGTCCCACAGAGGTTTTCCCTCTGGCTGCCTGGGGCTGATTTGTGTTTACATCCCGTTTTGGGAGGTGCTTGAGGCACCTCAGGGAGCAGGAATTCACTGGCTGCAGGGGGGGGCCACTCCTGTGCCCTGGCAGCAATCCTGAACTGCCCAAAAGGGCTTGGGAAAAGCCCAGGTTGGCAGGACATGGAGTCATGGAATCGTTAAGGTTGGAAAAGACCTTTAAGATCCACAAGTCCAACCATCAACCCACCACCACCACCATGCGGAGTTTATATAGAAGGAGTTGGAAGGGACCCAGCAGGATCATGGAGTCCAATCCCTGGCCCTGCCCAGGACACCCCAACAATCCCCCCCTGTCCCTCAGAGCGTTGTCCACCCTAACCCTCCCCTGGCACAGCTCCAGACGTTATGATTTCTTTATGCTCCTTCTAAATCTCCTGGAAACCACGAGGAAACAAATCCAGTGCTTTGTCTCAGTGGCCTGAAGACGCAGCTGGGGCTAAAAGCGCTTTCCCTGGGGGATCTCTCTAGACCTGCTGGTTTTTCTCCTAGAACTGGCACGCTGGTGTGGGTGTTTCCCAGCAGAGCTGTGCTGCCATGGCCCCTCCCTGCCAGCCCTGCTGGCCCTCAGAGGAGGAGGGTGTTTGACTGCTGTCTCTCTGCCTTGCAGGCTGGGGCAGAGATCTCCACCGTGAACCCCGAGCAGTACTCGAAACGCTTCAACGAGTTTATCTCCAACATCCTGACATAGTCTGTCTTCAGCCTTCAGCGAGGAAGGAAGAGCAGAGGGGCTCCTTCACCCAGAGAACGCAGCCTGTGACACTCAAACAGACACTGTAGCAGCATGTGGGGTGTGTGTGGGGTGTGTGTGTGTGGGGTGTGTGTGTGTGTGCAAGGTGAGTGTGTGGCACTGCGTGACTTCAGAGAAAACTCATTCTAGGTGCACCCTCCAACAGTCCACTTGACCCAGGAGGAAAAGTGGGATTTTATGTTACAGAAGTGCCCAGACATTAAGATTTGAGGGCTTTTTAAACCAAGCAAAGTGCATTGTTTCAGCACTGCTCTTTCTAGTGACGTTTTCTCCTCTCTGATCGAGAGGATCCCGGAGGGATATGACGTGGCACTGTATAAAGGGGTGGCTCTAGATCATGTTCAGTGGGAGTGAAGCAGTGCCTGATTCCACAAACTACTCCTTTTTTTTTTTTATTTTTATTTTATTGGACTGTCTCGACCAGAAAGACATACAATCCCTTTTATTTCCCTCTTGGTAGGAATTGGAAGGAAAATAGCTCACCATTTCAAGGATGGAAACTATAACTCTGATAAGGAGGAGTCGCTGAACTTTAGGTAAATTCAGACTGGGACACTTTATATTTTTTGGTTAATTTAAGTAACAAAAAAAAAAACAAAAACACCAACCACTTTTTTGTAACTGCACTTGATTTACAAGAAGGACGAGGGAAATGAACATCTACCAAAGATGATCTCTTAAAAAAAAAAAAGGTGTAACTCGTAGAACTTAAAAAAAAAAAAAAAAACAACCAGTGTGAGAAGTAGTAGTGGCATTGACCAACCTCAGTTAATGATGTGCTCGGACCCATTGTGCTTTCAATTGGCCAGCTCTGAAGATTTCCCTAAAAGAAAACCAGAAAAAAAAAAAAAAAAGGCATTTTGTACCTGTAGATACGGGATAACATTTGACTCTTGGGACGTTTCCCTGCCGCGCCTCGAGGTCAGGAATTGCCACAGCTGACCATCACAGTCCTGCCAGTGTTAATCTAGCTAATGTTCAGTCTTCCTTACTCACCCCATCTGCAACAGGTACTTGAATTTGTTTCCTGACAGAGGTTTCTTGGCTTAGTTGGTTTCTGTTTTTTTCCGATGGCAATGTAACTTGCACACGAAGGAGTTGGACTCGCTGCCAGTGGGGAGTGCTGGGAGCTGTGACTGTGGAGCGAATTCCACTGCTCAAGAGGACTCAGGACTTGAGCTGTGGTTGGTTTTACTCTCCTCTGCTCCAAACCCCTCTCTAAGAGCGACAGTCGAGGAGTGGAAATGTTTGAACACTTGCGCCAGATTATTTTTCCATCCCCCTAAGGATTTGGAACTGATTGGAGTGACTGAATAACGTCCTGTTTTGTCTCCAGAATGCTTGTAATCCTTTTCACAGCCAAGCTTGTCAGGCTCGCTTTGGGTTTTGTTAGCTCTGCTGCACAAGTTACAGACCCTTTGGTTCTTTTGGTTTTTTTCATTTTCTTTTTCCTTTTTTTTTTTTTTTTTTTTTTTTTTTTTTTTTTTTTTTTTTTTTTTTTTTTTTTTTTTTTTTTTTTTTTTTTTTTTTTTTTTTTTTTTTTTTTTTTTTTTTTTTTTTTTTTTTTTTTTTTTTTTTTTTTTTTTTTTTTTTTTTTTTTTTTTTTTTTTTTTTTTTTTTGGAGCAGGATTTAGCGTTTTTGAACAAAAACCATCTCGCAGTTGAAACATGTCGCTTATCTGCCTTGAAACTGTTTTTTCACATATGCCTTTTGTTTCGGGAATAAGCTGTTTGGAATGTCTATGTCCTGTGCTGTAACACGTGCTACAGTTTGCTGTGTGGAATTTGGTCCTTTTTGAGAGATAACTGGTGCTCATCACATCCTGGTAATTCCCCTGACTGACCCTGAATGTGGGGGGGGGGGCTTTGTGGGGTTTATCTTTTTTGTTTTAGTTTCGTGTTCCATCCCCAGCGTTCGTGATGTGAATCCCGCAGGTCTCAGCTTTGAAGGGGACAACAAACAAACAAAAAAAAAAAAAAACAAAGCTTGAGCCCACAAGAGTGCACTGTAAATAGGGTCTTTAAAAGTCAAAAATTAGGGCTTGTAATGTTCCCTTCAACGAGGGACAAATTCCTGGAGTCCCATCCCTGTCCTGGGGGGGATAAACACACCCTTGTCTGCGAGGGTCTCGTGTCTTAAGGTGGAAAAGCCACAACCCAAATGCAGCTGTTGAGAATCCTTTGGAAAAAAAAAAAAAAAAGGGAGGACTTGGAGGGCATCACCAGCTTCCTTTTGTGGGCATTAGATTGGTTTGCTTTCTCTCTTGAGCGATAAGCACTTAAGTTTACTGCCAGTTAGAATTTAAAATCAATTAAATCACTTTTTATTCCTGACAGTTTAAAAAAAAAAAAAAAATACCTGCCTTGAATATCTGCAACTTTGGCTTGGTAAGTTTTGCCCTTCTCCTTTTGGGAAACCAGCTTTTGGAACTGTTTCTCTTGAAATCATCTATTTAAAAATATATAGAAAGAAGAGGGGGGGAAAAAAAAAAGGAGGAGGGGGAAGAGAGAAGGAAATGGGTGAACTGCAGACCCCCACAAAACAAACAACCCAAAGAAAACTGAGTGGAACTTGGAGCAAAAATCTCCTTCACCCAATTTCATAAAGAGGAATAAAGTTAAAATACAGTTAATTCCTGCAGCAGTCTTTGTGCAGAAGTCATGCTAAAAAGGGCTTAAGAGCAGTTAACTGTATTTTCTTATTCCACTCCAAACTCCTGCAAGGATTAAATTGGCTGTTTCTGGCTCAAGTGATCTGAGAAGCCCCACAAACTCTATTCACTTTAGCACTTCCCCAATTCTGCCACTTCTGTCAAGTTGCCATATTGTGTGTATTAAAGTAATTAAATGCAATTTTCTCACTTAATGATGTATTTACCCAGGTAATGTAACTTTGTTTAACATAAGCATTTTGTATATTGTTTACATTTTGAGAGGTAGCATTACGTTAAAAATGCTAATTTTTTTTTGTTTGTTTCTAGACAGTATTTTTATTACCAGAATAAGAAGTGAAGCTGCAAATATTTGATTTGTTTTTAAAAGGGACTTTTTCTTTCGTTTGGTTTTTTTTTTCGTTGTTGTTGTTGTTTTGGTTTTGGTTTGGGTTGGTTTTTTTTTGTTTGTTTGTTTTTTAATCTTGTTTTAGGTCACTTTTTTAACTCGAGTATTTAAAAAAAAAAAAAAAAAAAAAAAAAAAAGGACAACCCAGCCCTTTCAATTCTGGTTTTACAACTGCTTGTGCTAGTTTGTTGTCTGTTCCTGGTGTGAATTTAGTTCTAGTTTGCTGAATGTAGATATTCCTGTCTGTAGCATGTCCCCTGCAGAACACTTTACACTGAAGTGCATTTGACTGACCCCCCCCTCTCCCCCCGGGCTGCCAGACCTGCAGTGGGTGTTCAGGTTGCTCAGATTTGGATCAGAGGGCAGGATTTTCCCGACACAACCCGGTGCAGTTTGGTGAGCTGGAGTTCCAAACCCATCAGCGCAGCGCCTGAAGGGTGAGCTGTGCAGGGATCTGCACCCCACAGGGTCTCTCTCTGATCTGTCAGAATTTAGCAACTCTGAAGGTCGAGTTTCCACCTTCCCTGTGGGTTCAGCTCCTCCAGTGTCACCAAGAGTGGGAGAGGGAAGGGCAGAGCCCCAGCTTTGCTCCAGCAGTGCAATAAAAACCACTCGAGAGCGTGTTGGGTTTGGGGGGATCCCAGGAGCTCCCACCCTTGGGAAGGGGGTTTGGAATTTGCTGTGGGAATGCCAGCAGGAGTTCACTCCTCATGGCAGGGTGGGATCCTTCCCTCTGGTCTCTCTGCCTGACCCGGGTTTAATTCTAAAAGCCACAAATCACGAAATTCATCCCCGGAGGGGGGCAGGGAAAAAAGGAGGCTGTGCTCCTGCATCCCGGTTTGGAATCAGATTTTAGCATAATCAGCAAGAAAACTAAACCACTTGAGTCTTACTTCCTTTTTTTTTGTGTGTTTTTTTTTTTGGGGGGGGGAAGGAGGGGAGGAAATTCCTGCTTTGCAAACCCTGCCCCAGCCAGCGGGTGGGGAGCGGGTCTGAGCCCAGAGAGAGGGGGAAACGAGGGTGTGTGGTAGTTTGGGGGGGGCCGTGGTGGTAGATGCTCCCAGTCCTGTGACTACTGTGCAGTCTTTTCCATGCCTCCCTGAGCTGCAGGAAGCATTCCCAACCCTTGCTGAGGTCAGTGTGTGTGTCCCCACCACGGGCACCAAACCCGTGTGCCCCCCCGGGACTGCCCCACCCCTGCAGAGCCATTCCCCACCGTCCCCATCAGCCACTGCCCGTTCTCCTTGCTCTTTAGGAATTGGCAAAGCTCAAGAGCCAACTGCTGCTCGTCGTTTTTGGGGTGGTTTCAGTGTTTCCCACTCCGAAGTTGTGCTGCTCTCTGGCTGCACGACCCCCCCTTTCCCCCCCCTTCCCCAAAAGGAAAAGCAGCTGGATGGAGTGGTGTTGAGTGGATTACACACAGATCACAAAGGGTTGGGCAGG